GGATAAAAGATATCGAAGAAGAATACGTCCAAGCACGTGAAAGTGGTGAGATACTTTCTCCATACAATATAGTGTATGGTTATTTGAAGTTATCCAACTAAACTGTTCTCTCTAGATAATGTTGATTTGTTAGTAAGAAATCCGAATCATACGTTTTTGGATGATAATGATTCGGATTCGGATAATAGTTCAGTAAAGAGTTTGGATCAGCCAATAGTAGATGATCTAAGTGAAAACTCCGAATTGAAGATTACAAAAGAATAGAAACTGCTTCCGATTTTTTTTAGTCCCATCATTGAATTATTATTGAAAAGAAATGTTAATAGTCTCTATTATGTTTCTTGTTATGAAATTAATAACATCGTGGTTACTTTTGTTACTTTTCTTTTGCTATGAAATTATTAAACAATGCGGATGATGCAGAAATTTCATATTTTAAAATTGTAAAATTTTTTATTTGTTTATCTTTTATTTTGGGATTGGGTTAATAAATAGACTTGTAGAGTTTATTGAAATAAAATTTCAGTATTGCTGCGGAAATAAATTTATAAACCAAATTTTTATTAATTACTTTTAAATTTCGTATCAACTTGTGCTACATAAAAAAAGAAACTATGAATGATGCAAATGAAACATTTTATGTTAGGCATTTAATCATTTTGACCTTACTGGATTTCTATTAGATAAAACTTATAAATGCCAATACTTATAATTTTATAAATTTAAATAGCCAATTTCATTAAAATTTTATTGGCAATTAAAATCTTCATTACTACCAGATTATTTACACTATTATATTTTTTTATTTTTATAATGTTTAATGCATTATATGTAAAAACATAATAAGTTTGTTTAAAAAAAAAGCCAATATAAAGATGTTTATTTAATAACACCTTTCACAAAAAAAATTTAAGCATTAAACAATGCCTACCATTATTTTATACTATGCCCACTTTCATATTATTGTTCAAAGATTGAAGTACACGGCTTCGATTTCAAGTCAAAACATTTGGTTTTTTTGTTGTAGATATTTTTTTCCCTTTATATTTATATGCTATAATGTTCTTTTGTTCTTCTTTGGATGTGTCAGGTAATAATTCTTTAGTAGTCATAATCGGCTTATCAATAAACTTGGAATACCAGTTATTTAATGAAAGAGAAATTATATATGAGATAGATTTAAGCAACGTAGGCTCTGTTGATACATTAGTAACAGCATCCGATATTTGTAAAAAGCCCTTATTTTCTTTTATATTTCTTTTTAAAAAAACATTTGGTCGAATATTTACAAAATTTCATAGCTATAAAAAAAAAAAAACTATTTAAATCTATTTAAGGTTAGATATAAAACTAGCAGATTTTGAAATTCTTACTGTAACTTATTGGTACACATATAACTATAGATTTGATTTATTGTATTATAAGCCGAAGTGTATTTGGAGCCTGTGATATTTCCTTCCTGAACATCTTTCTTATGCAGATAAAGATCAACTATATGTTTATTGAAGGATACTCTTAAGACCCAACATGTTTTATATTCTATTGGCATCAATACTGTATAGCTTTTATTAACCACTATAAAGTTAGGTTTTTCAATTATATTTGGCAAACTATGGTTATTCAGAAAATTTATAGATTTATTCAGGGGTTAGAACATCATGAATATTAATTTCAGCTGTGGTTCATATATTCTTTTCACACATAATCATGCATGAGCTAAAAGTTGGTGTTTTATATATATTTGCAGACTCTGGGTTCCATGATTATACTTCAGAATTAAAATTATTCCACAATGAAATAGTGTCAGAAAACCTTCTTTTTACAGATTTTATACTTGAATCAGATTTTTTAGTCTTAATTGAAGGTATTTTAAGTTTGGCAATAGATTCATAACAATATTAGATAATAAAGTGTCTGTATATATAAAAAAAAAAGCTCAAATATGAATAAAACATTATTAGAAAATATAGAAATAAAACTAGAAACTATCTGTAGAAATTTCATATTTGGTTTTTTTTGGGTCATTTTTATTAATAGAATTTTCTTTTTTGTTGTATCTTTTTCGTTTCTGTGCAAAAAAAAAAAATAAGTATATCCAATTCCTTGTATAGAATCAACAGGCCTTACAAGAAGCTCATAGCAAAAAAATATATACACATTGCAGAAACTCGATGTCTGGACATTCTTCTTCCCTCAACCAGCAGATACACAGAATGTAGCATACTACTATGCTTATTAATATTTTACATTTAAAGAACATGTAAAATACTAACCTTTAGGTTTAAAAAATTTCTTTTTAAAGTTAAGGTTTTATTATATATATGTGTTTTCAGCTCAAGCTTACTTAGTAAAACATCTAATCATACTGAAAAGAATTGTGTGATTCTTGTTTTGTCTTGTTTGGATATTTGTTAGTATAAAAATTCTCTCACGTAATTAATCTCCATTTTGTGTATGGTCTTTTCTAATAAAAATAAACATGTTTAACTACTTCTGATAATATTGTATTAAAAGAATATATTTGAAGAAGAAGGTAAAGTTTATCAAAAAAAATGTATTTGGAAAAAAGTATATGATCCTTTGATTTTATGAAAAATTCAAAATAGCTTTTTTTGATGCTATTTTAAGAATATGATAATGTGAGATACCATAAATTCTCGAAATAATAGGCAGAAATATGCTATTTTGACTATATGCATGCTATTTTGAGTACATCTATGAGCATTATTTTGAATAAATAGATTATTTGTTGGATATAGAAGTTTTCACAATAACACCTATGAGTGATATTTTAGTAGATAATATTCCCACAATATTTAAATTACTAATACATGTATATGTACATATATACGTATATACATGTATACTAAAATCAAAAAGTTCAACAATAGCCAACCGTATAACAAGTTATAGCCAAATATAATCAAATACTCTATTTTTAATAGTATAATCTGCATATTTTTTTATTTACAATAATATTAAAATTTTTAAATAAATAAAAAAAATACAAATAAATAGACAGGTTTTCTCAACAATTTAGTGAAGAAAAGGATAAAAATATGATAGATATAAATGTGTATGATAATACAAATGATGATATGATGAATATAGATGAGAATGAAAATATGAAAGATAAATACATGATGGATAATTAGCATGGTAATAAGTATAGCAAAAATTTATAATCTATTAAATATTATTTTGCTGTTTGTTAAAATCGATCTATATATTATATTGTAACTAGAATCTGTGAGGTTTACTTCAAACCAATTATCTTTTTTCTGCTTGTTAGAAATTTTTGAAATAGAAAATAAATTTTTTAGTGAAAAAAATATAAACAAAATCATGCTAATTTGCTAAAAGCCTGTTTTAAAATTTAAAAAACAGTTTGCTATTTATCTGATATTTTCAAATTTTTGCACCAAAATTTATTTCTGTCTTTCCAAAAAAAATTTCTACTAAAAATATAAAAAAAAACTATTGGGTTTATATAGAACCCTGAAGATCTCTGATATAACTTAGAGGTTATTAAAAAAGGAAATTTTGTGTAGAAATTCATTAAACATCGCATTTTTATATAGTAAATTTTTTTAAATTTTGGCCTATTTTATATGTATTTGGCTAATATTATACAAACTCAGATCTAAGTTGTATTAGAGATCTTCAGGGTCTTGTTTATATCCTCTATAATCTAATAAATATAAAACTCTTGTTTATACTTTTGTTTTAGGCAACTTAATATAGCAAATATTTGCTAAATTACCTAGTTATCTTAAATTCTATATATGTATAAAGATTAAAAGAACATTGCATAGTGAGATCTTAAATACATTCTCTATAAGTATCTTCTACGAATACTCATTAAAACTGAATATATACGTGATCTCTAGAAATGCACTTTTTTTAGTATATATTAGAGTTTTGGTCTCTATGGATAGATGCATTTAGATCTGACTGTATAATTATGAATACGCGAAAGCATTAGTATGTGAATGTATAAATGCATAAATACGTAAATACTTTTTATTTTCTTAACTATTATAATCAATTTGATAAATTATTATTTATATAACATGATACAATATGAAAATATAAGAGATGCGTATTATTTCGAGGCGTGTATAGATATTATTTTAAAACCAGATATAAAATTTTTAGGAGGCATGGTTTTTAAATTAATACCCCTGCTCGCTATTTCAAGAATTTATAGTAAAAACACATTTACTGTTTATTGTGATAGTTGAGTAGTAGATTATATCTAAAAGGTAGAAATTTCATATTAAACCTAATTTATACAGAAACTTTTATATAAAAATCATAAAATTATATAGTTATTAGTATTGTGTATCTGAAGTAGAGGTGCAAGCAAAACCCAATTTCTGTATAAGTCACAAGTGCTATATGAATTTTAAGTGCTATATGAATCCCAAGTCCATATGAATTCAAAATACTATATCAATAAATTAAAGTATTTAATTAATCAATACAATCAATATATATATAACTAATTATATAAATACATATGAAAGATAATAATATATTAATCAATGAGGTAATAAAAATAGTTTATATATTTATATGCAATAAAAATAGATTATAATTTTTATGAAATTATCATCTATTAACGAAAGTTTTTTTTACAATAAATACAAACAAAGGCAATATCGACTCTAAATAATAATAGTTCTCTACTACAGTCAGACCTCTCTAAATGCAACCTTCATAAATGCAATACCTTCCTAAATGCACGTTTTTGTCTTGGCTGTATGAAATCATTAGTGCTAAATGCATATTCTATATTCTGCAAATGCACGTTCACTCAAAAGATTTTTTATATCATACTAACCTCCCTAAGTGCACGTAGCCAATCAGAAGTCAGTATTTAAGTTTGTTATACAAGTTTGCAGATCAAATATTAAAAGCTGCAATTTGATTGGCTCCCTCTCTAAATACACATTTTAGGCTGGTCTGTACATGTTGCATTTATGGAGGTTTGACTGTATTTAAATTAAATTTATAATATCAGCCTTCTATTTTCTAACAATTGTCAAAACCACTTCAGAAGTAAAATAAATTATTATATCTCAAGAAGTTGTAGTTAAATAACTCATCTGAAGAAGAAAATTTTCTGTCTAATCAGCCTAAAAAAAGATATATAACAAGTTATAGCAAGAGATATACACATGTTACGGCATGCTATAACTTAAGCCAAGAAGTTCTAACTTGTTATAACTTAGTTATATTATGGCAAATTCCAATACTTCAAGTTCTGTCTGTATCTCTAGTCTGGAGTGTATTATATTGGGATAAGGTACAAACTAATTAATCAAATCTAAAGATTTTTTAAATTTATATAATACAAATTATTTCTCTTTTTGATAAAAGATTTTCAATCGATTTACTTATTTGTGCAGGTAATACAAACCAAAAAAGTCATCAAAATTTGTAAATAAACCAAGTACGTAAAAATCAAAGTTTAGAAATTAAGATGTTAGGGTTGTAAGCTTTAGCGATAAGTTGGAGTTTTTTATATATAAAATTTCATCTCTATTATTTTTTATTAGTCAAGGTTGATTTAAATGCTAGTTTTTGAGTATTATCACTTTCTTTTTTTTTTTTTTTTTGCACATATTCAGATTCTATATTGGGCTGATTCAGAATACCCAAACTTTGTATTCTTTGATTGGCTATTTTTTTTTTAGAAATTTGTATTATCTGCACAAATAAGTGAAAACAAATCAAATTATAGAATTTTGATGATTGTTAGCAAAGCAAAACTAAAAATAAAAACCAAAAAATCTAAAAAATACCAAAAACAGTCATCTAAACCTACCTCGAGTAGGTTAATCAAAAATGTCAAGAAGGCAATTTTTCTTATATTTAACTACCTAAAACCTATCCTGACTCTAATATAGGATAATCTAAAGTTAATCGATAACATTATTAAGAATATGAGTACCTTTATTTTAAATATTCTTTTCAATTAGAAAATTTTTTTTTTAATTCTATAGTATGAAATTTGTATCAATCATTGGCTATGCTATTATTTGGCATATAACTGCTTTTTAAAGCCTTATAGATTTCATAGATTCCTAGACTATATATTTATAGAATAATTTTTGCAAAAAAATTTTAAAGATTTTTTTAAAACTGATTGTTATTTTTAGATAATAAAACCACTTTTTTAAATAGAAATCAGTTTTAGAATAACCTTTTAGTATATTGCAGATTATTTCTATATCACAGAGTCACTTCAAACATTTTAAGTAGTATTTCTACAAAAAATTGTTTATCAAATTTAAGATTAAGCATCAAACAAATTTTTGTTTTCTAAGTAAAAAAGTTACACATAAATGAAAACCAAAAATTATAATTAGAGTTAGGATTAAAACAATATAATGTCTATAAGTAAAACATCATAAGGAACATTTTTAATTAGCCTGCAGAAGGTAGTTTTCTAATTAAAATTTAGAGATATTCTTGTTTTTTGTAAAAAATGGTTTCTACATTAAACCTAATTCTGAAATTCGATTAGTCAAAATTACAGAGAATGAACAATTTTTTGTAGAAGAGCTAGAGATGTAGTATTAGATATCAAATGATTTACTATCATAGTGTAGTATTATATAATTGGCCTACTATATAAGATTTTTAAAATTTTGTCGATCAATTTGTTAAAAAATTTATAGTAGTAAAAACTATGTATTTTTAAAATATTATAACTTCATTATTAGTAAAGTATATTTAATTCTGAAACTTGCAAATAATATAAAAATAGTATTATTTTAAAACTATAATGCCATGTTTAATATTAATATATGAATTTTAGTAGGTTTCTATAATATTATTGTTTAAATAATATTTTTAAAATGTTATAACTCCTGCTCTAGTAGAGCAAATTTAATTCTGTAACATGTAAATAGCATATAAATAGCTTGCTTTTAAAACTATATTGCAATATTTAATATTAATATGTAAATTTTAGTAGTTCTCTATAATTTAATTGTTTAAATAATTGTTAAAATTTGTTAATTTGTAATTTTAGCCAAATTAATAAAATAAAATAAAAAATATCTCAATATAGTTTTAAAAGTGTATTATTTATATATTATTTATAAGTTATATAATTGAATTTGCTTTACTAGAATAAGAGTTATAATATTTTAAAAATATAATGTTTTTATTATAAAATTACTATGATAAATTCTTTTAATAAATTAATCAACAAAATTTTAAAAATTTTAAATAGTGGGCTAATCATATAGTGCTGTCCTATAATAGTAAATTATTTAGTATCTAATACTTCAAGCTAGAAGTATTGCTTAAAGCCAGATATATTATAGGATTATCTGATTTTTTAATTTTTAATTAAAATCAATTAATATTAGAGATAGAGTTAAATTAAGTAGTTAATATAATAAAATCATATTTCTTATACTTTTACTACTTATACCAAAATTAGCTGATTTCTAAAAGCTCTCTAAAAGGTTCATCATAGACAAAAATAAAATAATGAATTGGAGAATAGTTTTATTATTGGTAAGAAGTTGTTGTACAATTGTCTTATAAATATAAAATTGGCTAGGCTAATTTGTAACAATAGAAATTGCATTGTTTAAAAAATATTTTTGCATCGACTTTTGATTATATATAATTTAAAAAGTGCTTATATAGCTAGCTATATCTTTTAATTTTTGTTCAATAAAATTGAAGAGAATAGCATCCTGTATATATTAACTACTTTTCTTCTTTGTCAATCTATTATTATAACTATATACTATTAATCTGTTTATGAGCTTGTCATCAAAGTATTGTTTTTTATTTTGCCTGCAATTATAATAAGAGATATCAAAATTTATTATAAATCTCTTATTTAGATATCTTGTAATTAATTCACAATTAACAATCTTTGGGTTAATTACTCTATTAAGTAGTATTGCCAGTATAGCACATAGATTTGTTAAAATTGTTGTCATGTATATTAGACAAGATAAACTAGTATCAAGTTAATATAAAATATGAATATTGTAATAATCATCAATATTCAATACAAGAGCATTTCTAGAATATTTTGCAAGAGTTCTCTCTACACATTCTTTATATATATTAGATATTCTTCTTTTTTTATGATTTACTGATTTCAACATTGTAGTTA